GGAGGGTTTGCTTTTTTTTTTTTCCCTCCTCTCTCCTGACGAGGGTCCAGATGCGACGCTGCTGCAAACAAGGGAAAGGCAAACAGAAGCTGCTGGAGACTCGGCTCTTCTGAAAGGCCTCTCTGGGTCACGTGCGCTGCCATTTCGGGCAGTGAGGAAAGTGGATTCAGTCGTCTCCCTCTGCGGGAGAGGGGGGTAGAAGCCACCAGTACATTTTTTTTTTTTTTTTTTTTTCCCCCCTGTGTTTTGTCCCCCAAACACAGTATGGTTATGCCCTGCATGTGCTCCAAGGAGAGATCCCCTGCTATGGGTGGCCCAGTGGTGAGGGGATGTTGTAAGGTGGGGGACACCACAGCAGACGGGCCCCAAAGCTGGTGTGAAAATACATTTCTGGTTCTGTGGGAGGACAGCATGGCATTGGAGGTGGTGCTTGGGCCGTGGCTGGGAGGTCAGATGGTGGCAGAGGAAGTGGGGTGCCACGCCGGTGGCAGCTGCCGAAAAAGAAATACTCCCCCAGAATACATCCCTAGGTTGTCCTTGCTGCTGCTGTCTTGTCCAGCAGTTTGCAGTGTGGCTTTGGCATCATCTGTGCAGACCTTCTTCCCCTAAACCCATAGAGGAAGACCTCCATGGTTTCTTCAAGTGCCATTCCTACACTCATGCCCATCCCAGCCTGACCGGGGCATTAATTCCTTGACTGGAATCAAAAGACAGTTGCCTTTTTTTTTTTTTTTTTTTTTTTTTTTTAAAAAGCCATTTTTGGTGGGAAGGATGAGGTTTGGTGGTGGACGGAGGGGCGAGGGCCGGGGTGGAAGGATGGCTCTAGCCTGAAGAGGCGAGATTTGCCCAGAAGGCAGCAGCTCTGCTAGGTCCAAGCCCAACAGGAGGTGGCCGTAGACTCTTAGGAACATTTCTGTACATTGGATATTGCGCTTACTTCCAGTTTTGCTGTGGGCTTGGCCCCTACCTGATGGTGGAGGCAGCTCCTTGCACGTGGCTGTGGAGATGTGGCCACTAATCCTGTGCTGCCACTTTGTCTTGTCCTGCTGGTGAGTGTGAATGTCTCTGGCTCTGCCATGGCCTCGTCTGTCGCAGTGTCCCAGCCATCACCAGGTGCTTGCCGTCCCTTAGTGCTTGTCCTCTTCTCCTTTGCCAGCTGATGGTGGCATCAGAAAAGCAGCCCAGCGGATTCACGTTGTTCGGAGCTTCCAGCTCTGCTCTCTGTGCATCCTTTTAGGACTCCATCTCACCCTCCAACGGTGGCTCTTTGCGTCTTGTTCCTGTATAAAATGGTTCAAATGTGGTTTGACCACTGACCTCCCCAAGGAATGGCATGGGAGCGGGGAGCTGCCGTGCCAAGGGCTCAAGCCCTCGGCATGCCGAGTGCCTTCTGTGCTTGCAGAAAAGCCCAACACACCAGAATGGCTTTTCCCACCCTAAACGTCAAGATATTTGATGGGAGGCTTTGGCAAAAGGCGAGCTGCTCTGACCCGAGATCCCCATCAAGGTGAGGATGAAGAGCACTCCTCCGTGTTCGCGGTGGTGGTTTGGGACGCCAAGTCACTTGATGTGGGGTAAAGCCAGGATGGGGTGTTGCAGGCTGGTCCCAGCCTTCTGCTTTGAAGCATGCTTGTGATTTTGTCCCAGACATGACAGGTAGTGCCCAGCGTGGGTTTGCTTGTCTTGGGGCTGGAGTTTGGGAAGAAAACCTCCCAATGGAGGCGTTTTGGTGAAACCTCCCTTTACTTTATAGCCCCCTCTGAAACTCACTCCATCCATCCTTTTGGAGCTGGTGTTAATCCTGTATTTCATTTTTCCCTGGGATTTTTAGGGCACGTGGGAAGCCAAATGCTTGGGGTAGGGACCTGCTTGTACCAAAGACCCCAGGCAGAAGCTGTTTTCCTGCCATCCCAGCCCTGCTTCCTACCCCTCGCTCTGCCAGGCTCAGCTCTTTCCAGGGCACAGCAGCCGGCGCGGCATTGGCAGTCCAGGGAAGTGGTGGGGGATGCAGGCAGCTGCCGGCTCTCATGGGCTCCTCTTGCCGCGGTTTCTTTTCTCCAGCCACACTGGAATCAGCCGCCTCCAGAGCTGCTGACAGGGCTGTGTTGGGAGGCCTTGGGAATTACACCGCTTGTTTCCTTATCATCCCCGGACCCACCGCCTGGAGCCTTCTGCTGCAGGAACAAGGCAAGAAGGGGGCACGCAGCCAACATGTGTCAAGAGCTACAAAGGAGGAAATTGGCCTTGTTCACTTAAAACCGTGGGGTTAGTGTTTGAGTTTTGGCTCCTGCTGAGAGGTTATTTATATGTGGGCTTTTGGGTTTTTTTGGGTTTTTTTTGTTTTGTTTTGTTTTTTTATAACCGCTAGATGTAGCAGGCTGGGAGTTTCAGATGATCCCACCTCTGAAGGTTTTATAAAGGAAAAATAGCATCTCTCCCTGTTTGCTTTCCCGGCTGGCACCATTAGGAAGGACCACTTGAGGGGTGAGTTAGTTTTGATGCCCAACCCGTTGGCGTTGTCATATCCTGTTTAATAGGTCATCATGCTGAAATGCAGCCCCGTCTCCGCTGGAGCAGGAAGCAGGACCTGCGGCTCCCCATCAAGGACACGGCAGTAGGAAACAGAGGAAACATCTCCCCGTTGCCGAAGTGCGAGAGCGGAATGACAATGTGCTAATGAGAAGGCTGATGGAGGGGGGACGCTCCTTCTCAACAGGGTCCATGCACTGCTTCCTTGGCACGACCGAGCTGCAAATTGGCTCCCCCGATTCTTTGATTAGAGATTTTGATGAAAAGCCCGGCAAGTGATTGATCCTGCTGACTCATGGACCCAATTTCTCCTCCGATGGAGACAGTAACTGCTTGAGATGGGTCAGATTTTGAGGCTAACCAGCTCGGGTAGACTCGCTTGTGTTTGTTGCTTTGCTTCCAGGCTGGCGGTGGCTGCTTATTAGCCTAATGACCCCAGTTACCCAGCACCATTTATCTGCCTGAGTGAGATTTCTTTAAAGGAAGATTCATGCGTCTCGAGCACTGTGCGACCCCGAAGGCTTCAAAACCCGGCGAGCTGCTCCGGCAGCCCTGCTGGGGAGCTGATGCAGGGGGAGTGTGCCAGGAATAACCCACTAATGAGCAAAGCTACTTCTCCACCCAGCAGCTGGGGAGGCCGCTGGGAAGGGCTGCAGAGCAAAGCGGTGCCTGCTTTTCCCTTCCTCTGCTTTTGAAGGCTGGCTTGTCAGGGATTTGCCACCTTTTCCTGGTTTCTTGCAAGCACTGCGTCTTCCCTGCTGCTGCCTTCCTGATGTTTGCCATGCAAACACGGCGTGCATTGCTCTGTCGCTGCTCTTGAGGATGCTTCTGGCTGGAGCTGTGAAATACATCTTGCCTGTGAGTCCTTGTGTGGAGGTGGCCTCAACGATGTGCAGGGCAAGGGGGCACCCGCCTATTCAGAGCTGATGGCAGGCAGCACCCCCATGCAGGGGAAAAGACAGCTGGTGATTGCAGTGGACTTTTTGGGGTGACTTCTTGTGCTGTTCCCACCTCACAGTGATCAATGCCGGGGGCTGCAAGGGGAAAACCACCCCTGGCCCCATAGATGTTGAGCCAGTGGCTGGAGTTGGAGAGCTGGGGAGACGCAGCCCAGGGCTGGAATGAAGTCGCCGGGCTCTGAAATGATTTAAAGCTACCAGCAGCCTGATGATATGTTGTATTTGGTGACAACATCTGTTCAAGATATTCCTGTCCCTGTTACTCATTCCTGCCCACGGACAGATCAGGGAACTGATCTGATGTAAATACATGCGTTCAGGGTTTTCTGGGGTGAGCTCAGGTTGCAGGCTGGCATGGGTGGGCATGCCGTGCCACCAGCATGGATGGGACCATGGGCGACGGTGGTGTTGCCTGGGGCTGGAGTTGGGATGGGGGCTTTGCTGGGGCGATGATGTGGCAGGAAGGGGTCAGGACCTCTGCCTGGCCGCTGGCTTCTCCTGGGGCTCATAGTGACTTGGGCCAGCACCGCTCAACCCAGGAGGGCTCGTGCTGTCCATCTCCCTTCCTCCTGTGCCTCCTTGCCCCCTGTCTGAATGGTGCCAGCTCTGTCCCAGCGTACTGCAGACAGGATGAATCCCTTTCCAGGAATACATTAACCACAATGCTTTTATACAATGTGGTAACAGCGTGTGCTCATACCTGCTGATGTTTCCCCTGTGCTTGACACTGAAATTGGTTTAAACCTCAGTAAGTGTCTAGATTTATTTTAAAATATTGCCTGGCCCTCGTTCAGCTGGGATCTCTTGAAGTGTGCCACAATGAATAACATGGAGAGACAGCCTGCTCTGCAGGCTTAAGCTTTCATTCCAGTCAGGACATGGAGGCTGCCACGTTTTTACATCCCTTCAAGAGGGTGGGTGGGATAGGGTACAACTCAAAAGTCAAAAGACTTTCTGTCTGCCACCAATGGAACGAGAGGAGCTGTTGGGACTTTTGGCTGCCCTTCCTTGATGCTGGAGCCTCTGTGCCTTAGTGTCCCCCATCCTCTGCACATATCAGATGCTCCCCTGTTAGACACAAGCATGAACGCTGTCACAGAGAGCACCCAAGTACTCTGGGTGAGGAAGGCACCATTAACAGCTACAAATCCTGCAGTTGTGGTGTTGGGTTGTTTTTTTTTTTTCCCAAGGTGGAAAGTAATTTAATTCCAGGAAGCTCGCTCCCCCAGTTAGCTATGTAAATGCAATGTTGTGATTTTTTTTTTTCCCCCAGGTGTTATGCAGATGAACGGTGTTCCCAGATATCCCACACTCACTTGCTCCCCCCCTAGTAGTTGGGATGCAGGTACTCCTCCTGCGCTGGGAACAGCCTCGCTCATCTGTTTAACAGATGGATGTGGCTTGTTCCAGAGTGAACTGCATGGCTGGCGGCTGCCATCCTCAGGCTCACTCCTCAAGAGAGGACCCTGGAGCTGGGGCTCAGTCCTGGGTTCAAGCCTGTCGCCAGCCAGGCTGGAGAAGGAAGAGCTGCATCCACCTGGTGGTTTGTCCATGGATGGTGGTGAGTGGAGGCATGGGGTGTGTTGTCCGAAAGGGGCTTGTTCCCTGGGGAGGGCATCCCAAAAATAATCAGTACTTCAAAAGCTGGTGTTGATGCCAGGATGCTGCTCGCTGGCATGGTGCAGCGAAGGAGCTGTCATGTCCTCGTGGTTCCATGCTGAGAGCTGCAGCTAATGTGACTACACCAGCTCCAAGCAAGTATTTCCAGCTGGTGCTGCCCTGCCAGCTTGGGAGCCCAACCCACCCTCCCTGGCAGGACACACAACCCCAGGTTTCTGCTCCGGTCCCTCAGCTGCTGTGTCCTCGTCACCCTCCACAGCACAGACAAGAGAGGCCCTTTGCAAGGAGAAGGGACCGAAGTTATGGGAAAGAGGAGGGACATCAATGCCGGAGCTGAGCTCCAGTGGTTGAGCAAGGAAGGGAGGCTTGGAATAAGAGGAGGGAGCTGGGGCTGGGCAGTGCATGCTCAGGGACTGGGGGAGATCGCTTTGGAAGGCTGCAAAGGATCCTGTAAGGGGAGGATGGCTGGGCACCAGCCAGCTCTTTGAGGTGGTAACGAAGTCATCAAGCAGAGCTGGCGTGTGCTGGTGAAGCCTCTCTAGTCTGGGCATTGGGGAGACAAGCAGATCTATAGGATGCCTTGTAAGTGGAGGGGTGTTTTAGGGTTTTGAGTGCTGTTTGCTGTTCTGTGGCTTGGAGGGGAGGAAGGCAATCGTGTGTACGTCTCTATCTCACAGAGCCAGGGGGTTTGCTAACAGGAAGGTTTCTTTTTTTGCTTGGCATTAACATTTCAAGGTACAGGAACTCTTTTGGTATTTAGTGTTTCATGGTCCTTCAGACCGGCTATTAATACTCCGCATTCTGTGCGGGGTGAAGGGAGCTGGAGGGGCTGAACTTCGAAGGAAACCAGCCTTTTGGTAGAAACCCTACAGCCACAAGCAGAGCATTTTTTAGCTGCCCTGACCTGGGGGAAGAGTTAAAGCCCCTTGCTAGCAGGGAGAGTGGGTGGTTCAGCTTTTGGGCCATGCTCTAAAGGGAATGGATCTTGCATCAAAAAAGCAAAGGTTGCACGTGAAACCGTCCTCCAGCGTAAGGGTGACTGAACATGCCCATGGTTTTGCTGGGTCACTGCTTGGTCTGTTTGTGGAGGAGTCACGTCCCAGCAAAAGGCCCTGCTTTTGAGGGGCTCTCAGCCTGTTCTTCTCTCTGCTCCATCCTACAGACCAAGATCGCTGTTGGCGATCCCTGTGGTGGCTAACTCAATGGTGCTTGGACCAGCTTGTGTGCTGATCTCTGTAAGTGGGTTCTCTGTTTACCCATTCCCTCAAGGGTGTGAGAAGGTGCATGGCATTAAAAAAATGGAAATTTTGGGATTTCCAGGCTGTGTATCCACAGTAGTGACTTGGCTCCTAGCAGGAGCACCTCCCTCTGGTGGGGCCCTTCAAAGGTGGAAGATACCGTGCAGAGGGCAGCAGCAGATCTGGTTCTGGTTTTTCTTGTTGTATGAATGGAGGATGTTTTGGGGTTCCTGTTGCACCACCTCCGTACCTGATGCTCCCAGTGCCTTGAGCCCTGGGGTCAAATGCAGGGAAGAGGCTCTCCTCAGCCGCTCTTGGCCGGGAGAAGAGGATGGGTGAGATGCACCACATCTTCATGGTGTCCTGATAGTCTCCAGCCTTTGGCCGCAGGAACAAGAGCGACCAGATTTGCAGGTGCCTGTTGTTTCTGGGCAAGAAACCAATGGCTTCATCCTCTAGGCCACGGAAGCAGCTGGATTTTCTGGACAAGGAGGGGGAATCCAATTTGGCACAGATCCCAAGCTGATAGCACAGGGAGCCCGTGATGAGAGGCTGGCTCCTCTTTTGAAGCCATTGTCATGAAGCGGAGCATGTGAAGTTGGGGCAGGGGACCAGGGTTTTGTTAAATTGGACATTTCTGGGCACAGAGAACTGTGTTATGGTGCCATGCTTTGCTCCTTACCCACCGCTCTGCTATTGTGCGTTACCCAAGAGCCTTTGGGAACCATCCTCATCGGTCAACCCATTTCAAACATGGTTCTAAAGCAGTGCCCAGGGAGAGGTGCCTCGGCAGCCCACGTCGACCAAGAGATTCCAGCCTCCTGCCAGCAAGCAGGGCCATTAAAAACCCAGTCTCCTCTGGGAGCTGATGGTCTGGTACAGGAGATGGGAAGAGAATCACTTTCAATTTCCT